GTGCTATATCAATATTTTGTAAATAAATAACTAAGTTCAACAGCTGGTATTTTTCGTGAATTTTTTCAAAAATTTAAATCCAAGTAATATGCACATCTCTGATATATGCTCAATTGATCTGTAAAATTAAAAGATTTCTTATCTTGAAAGCTGTAGGAGATACCTGGACAAATAGGGTACCCTATATGTAATATTTTGCAAAAAAGCAAAAAGTTCAAAAGCTGGAATTTTTCATATAATAATATCATCTAAAATTTAAAATTCAAGCAGCATGAATATTTCTAATATATGTCCAATTGATCTGCAAAATAAGAAGTTCGTATCTTGAAAGCTGTAGGAGCAGTTTTCCGGACAAATGTGGTATTTTTCATATAAATTTAAATTTAAACCGTAACGGTAGCTCAGTCGGTAGAGCGCTTGCTCCGTGATCGGAAGGTCTGTATTCGAATCACGGCAGCGACTGACCTAAGTCGATAAAAAAAAATAGGTAGCAACTGTTCCTTCACCAAGGAACTTAAAAGTGAAAGTCGCGGGTCCTTCGGATTAGACCTTAAAAACCGAGCCTCCGTGTCACGGTTGGCGTTAGCACGATAAAGAACCCTCACTGCTCAATGACCCTGAGTGCCGAGTAAATGTCTAAATTTGAAGCCCTTCACCGGTATATGGTGACGTTTCTATAGGAGTGAAAAATTCTCGAATGGGACGTAAAAACATAAAACAATCAATCAATCATTTAAATTTAAAATCCAAGCAATATTCATATTTCTGATACATGTCCAATTAATCCGCAAACTTCCTATAATGAAAACTGCAGAAAAAGTTATCCGGGCAAATGGGGTACACTGTATGGAATATTTTGTTTAAAAATGACTATTAGAAGTTCAAAAGCTGGTATTTTTCTCATAAGTTATCAAAAATTAAGATCCAAGCAGTCTGCTAATCTCTAATATATGTACATATATTATGTAATATATTGTCTGCAAATTAAAAAAAATTCCTATCTTGAAAACTGAGAGGAGTTATCCGGACAAATGATGTACCCTTTTGGCAGCCGCCAGCCCGCCATTTTACCATTTCAATAATCGGATTTTTCCTATGGAAAACCTAGTTAAGAACTAAAAATTAAACAATCTTCCACTATACATAATTTTACACCAGGTATGACTGATTAAGAGGGGTATATCTAGTGATCAGTGATTTATAGAATGTGGTCTCAGAAATTGTAATATTGTACATTATCACAAATAAGCAGAATATTATTTGCAATGTCATGGTGAGTAAAACACAAGATGAAGTCAGTTATATTCGTACGTGCACTTTAGTTCTAAAGGCTAACAGGATCTCACATTTCCTCCCCCAGCCTACATACATCCCCACTCTCCAAAAAAATCCCTTCTCCCAAGTTTTCTACCCTGTGGAGGGCCATCTCTCATCTAAAAATAAATTTAATTTTGTAAAGGAATCTTTTTATTTTCTTTTTTGCATAATACTTCCATGAATTATATACTAGGTTAAAAAGTGTTTTAAAAAAAAGGAGCACGTACGATGATAATTAAATACTGATATTTAAGTGCAAATAATAATTGTCATACAAAGCTGATTTTCTGATAGAAAATACTGTTTTGAACAAATGAATGGATATTGAATATTTATGTTGGATAATTGGATCAAAGTAAAACCTGTATCCCTGTCCTCCCCTTCAACTCATTATGTACATATTTTTTCAATGTTGGTAGTGATGCTGGTGTTGATGTCTTTTACCCTCAACTGTGAGTTCATTTCTGAATTTTCAGAATAGAGTCTGATGGTGTAATAACACACCAGAAAAATCTAAAAATAAAGTTTGATAAACGACTGAATGACTGAAATGCAAGAAAAAAGGAGCATTTAAAAAAAAAACAGGTGCTTTATCTCGTAGTTTCTGTATAGCCCCTTGAATGTTTGTAACATCTACAACTGTTTTGTCTCTTGATAACAGACTGATTTAATTTGTTTCAAAAATGAAGTGCACTACCACAGAATTTTATCAGCATATTCAATTTCTTTTTTCTGTATGTTTTCCTTCAAGTAAACAGTTTATGGATCGAAAGGTCACTTTTAAGTGACCATTTTTAGAGCTGTTGAATGAAATATATGGAGATAACGAACAGTATTCAAGCTCAAGTCCATTAAACAATACGAATGTTAGAGCAGAGCAAACACGGACCTCTAAAACATCAGAGGTGGGATCAGGTGCCATGGAGGAGTGAGCATCCCCTGCCGCCCGGCCACACCCGCCGTGTGCTCCTTGTCATGATCGGGAAATAACGGAAAAATCCGTCGACAATTCATTGTGTATATAATGACCTAACAATTAGTATGAAAAACGTAAATCAGCATTTGACTTAATGATAAATTGTATTTGCTGACAATGTCATTGTATCGACCATAGAACTTGTTTATCAATACTTACCTCTTTTAGGAAATTGTTCATATGTAGAGCATGCTCTTGCGTATCGAATCAACAGAGAGATATAAACCCCGTATGCAGGTGATGAAAGTATATTGCTGCATAAGTAAGAGAAGTTGACGATTGAAAAGTTTAAATCATTATGTTTATCATAAAGCTTGGTTGTTAGATTATCATTAACGTCTCTTTCTAGTAAAATATCCAAATATGAAACAGATGTGCCAGACTCTGTGGTATCTTTTGTTCGAAGCTCACCGGGATATATCGTATCGTACGATTTTGAACAAATTAAGCTTCAAATGAATACAAAAATAGGTCTGATAATAACGGGGCGCAATTGGTACCCATGGGAATTCCAATAGATTGTTGGAAGACCTGGTCTCCAATAACCACATAGATATTGTCAATCAGAAACTCATGCATCTTTTTAATATCTACTTTAGCGTACTTGTGTGTACAATCAGAATGTTTTTTAACAAAATAATTTTGCAAATAACCAATGACAAGGTAAGCAAATTTACGAGTTTCGTTTTTATAGAAAAAGCAGCTGCAAATGATATCAAAAAGCCTGGTCTTTAATTTATCGTGGGGAATGGTTGTATATAAAGTTGAAAAATCGTATGTTTTTATGTTGTTGATTTTGGTAAAAATTTGTGATATCAAATTTTCCAAAAGTTCCTTGGATTTTTTAAGTATCCACATCTGATTTACACCACTTCTCGAATATATTGTTGCACAGTACTCCTGAAGTTTCTCCTTTACTACTGTTAATATTTTAGTGAGGAGTAAAGAAAGAGCTTGGTAGATCATTTACTGGAACCCGCTATGTATCTTTGTTTGTAAAGATTTTTACTGTTTTATGAATTTCGGAATCCAATATAGAAATTATTCAAATTCATGTTGGTTGTTGGGAATATTAAAAATATTCAAAACTGACATATGGTTTTGAAGAATTTCCTCCTTAGAAAGGGAGCTATGAGTATAAGTTGGATTACCTCTTGTAGTTTAAATAATGAGCCTTAGAAACAAACTTAAGTCAATGTTGTTAACTGCTTTATCAGCAGGGACCAGTACATACTGATCGTGTAATCTATTTAATTCTTTTTTCACTTCTGAATAATTGAACACAGAAGGATAGTTGGTTTTCCTTTTGCCCCTCAATCGCTTAATGCGAGATTTCAACATACATCAGATACATTTAACTGTTTAATACATTCTGACAATGTGTCAAGGTCTTCTTTTTCATGTCTGGCGCAATCTACCAGAGAATCCATTATATTTCAGAAATTATGATTTTAAAAAAGATATTAAATGGCTGTAGTAAAATTTGTGGAAATATGCTCTTTTTAAATTAAATAAAGCTCAAGAAACGTAAATTAATTTGTTTAAAGAGTTTGGTAAAATACAAAGAAGGACAACTTAACTTTCAGGTGATAAAAAAGCTTAGGTAACGATCACTTGTATGCGCCATAGAAAATGAAGCATAAGACTTTTCATAAAATTGCATTTTTAAATTATACCTATTTATATATCAATATAGCGGCTAATCTGTCCGGTACATGTGTATATATAAGGATACTAAGTGAATACCTGAATTAAAAACAATAGGTTTGTAACTTATTTTTTGAGTCTAGATTTGATGGAAGAAGAACATACTTCGATTAAATATAAAACCCTATTCCTTATTATTTTAATATCTGACTAAGTTCTCTCTCTCTCTCTCTCTCTCTCTCTCTCTCTCGGTATTCCTTTTTGCACCCCCGCTTGAAAAGCGGATGTATATATAGAGCTGGGAGTGTCCGTCCTTCCGTCCGAACTCTGTACGTCCGTAACACCTGGGGGTACCAATCTCTAATCCGCAATTTAATTAGACTTTCACAGAATATTTATTACATAGTGTGAAACTTCTATTTTAAAGATATTTGGGGTGTCTCATAGCAAAACATGGACACTGGTATTTTTTCTATATTATTTGGGTACACATCTCATCCTCAACTCCTTCTATACCACTAAAAAATTAATAAAACTTTCAAAGTGTCATTGGGCACTCCCATTTTATGTTTCGATCGGACATATATTTGGGGTTCCCATAGCAAAACAAGGCCTCTGTTTCTCTATAATATTGCGGTACCCATCTCTTTTATCTGCAACCCTTCCTATACCACTGTATAAAATCTAAAGAAAAAAAATACAAAGTGCCATTGTGTGCCAATTATTTTATATTTTTTCGGGTTTCCCATCGCAAAAAGTGGAGTTTCCTCAAATTGCAGCGAGTGGCTGTGAGCTCGCAGTACCTCTAGTTTCTTTCGTCACCTTTATTACTTAAAGAATGGATATTTTATCTTATTTTATATTATTTTAATAAAATAAACCATGTATTATTTTAATAATTTGATCGATCTAATATATATTTATGCGTAATGCAATGATATGCTAATGATATCTTTAAATTTGAATATAATATCTTTTTATCCTAACCAAAAACGGTTTGCATTCGCATGACGTAACTTAACAGTGCAGTGCCGCCATGTCACCATATTACAGGTACAGAGCTATTCATTAAGAGTGCATCTGGCTCGTATGTGTATAATCAGCTGAATATACTAGAGAGTTCAGAAAACAAGGAAATGACTACTCAAACAGGTTGGTAACATTACTTTTTTGAGCTAAGGAATATGTACAATTTCAGGATATTGATCTAACCACATTTATAGTTGAACGTTTAACGCTCCACTTATGTTTTTTTTTAGAATATACACATTGTATATATAAAGCCACTTAGTTTAATGTAAAGGTAAATGCATTGCGTCCAATTGGAACGAAACTCCCCCTTTTTGAAGTCACGAAAGTATTTTACAAAAGTTTTATTTGTTTATTTATTTATTTATTTATTTATTTATTTATTTTTAGAAATATACGTTTGTAAAACCTTTTTTCCAGTAGTGATATGTCAACATGCCTTATGAGAACGAATTTTACTCGTGTAAATCAAATAATTATGTACATAATAAGCAAGGGCACCTGAAGTGTGAAGATCAGACATTCTTCATATCTCTTGATACACCATCATGACAATTCCTAAATATATAATGAACCTATAGTTCTCAAAAGTATGTAATTTCCCGTCAACTTCATCTTTATGTCGTTCTGTGCAACCAGTTTTTAAGGTTAAGGAATTGGCCATATCCACAAATAATGAAAATTCACATGGTAACAAAAATTTGTAAACAAACAGGCTAGGGGATCCCCCGCTTCGAGACATAGTTTCGCTAACATTCTGTCAGGAAGATATCCCACTGGAATTTTTGTCCCCAGTTTTTGCGAAAGCGAGAGGACATTAATCTGAATCGTTTGTCTGTCTGTCTAGCTGTCTGTCTGTTATTCAGTCTTTCACAAAACCTTAATTCTTCGGTCATGACTTTTCAATGAGAAAAAATTGGGCTTTCAATTTCACATGTGCATTACCTGTGACAAGACCTTTCCAAATGAACTATGTGTATGTATATTTTACTTTGGTGTTTCAGCATCTGTGTTGTATTTCTAAAATTTGACATCTCTCCCTCTTCTGTCCCACATTTCAATGACAGTATTGTAAGATTTACGTTCAAGGCAGTATGTACCTGTATGAACGAAAAATACCCGTTACCAGACAGCAAGCCCAAGAACCAAATGCAAAGACAAAAGAAAGAGACACTAATACCAGACAGGTGACCCAGGAACCAGAAACAGGTGCAATAGAAAAAGACAGTAACAGATTTGAAATGGGGGTAATCTAAACGCGGCAATTCAGGAACTAATTACTGGAAAAGACAAACGGGGAAAACACCGACACAGCTTTTAAACCCAAGAAACTATCCGGAACAAGAAAATGACATTAACATTTGGATCTCTCTGTTTAAAAGCTGGAACAAGATTTCCGGTATTGCAACAGATGCGAAAGCAATAATTTTTGATGTGCTGAAATTGCTAGCCAGATTCCGATATCAACTGGCTGAAGACTCTAGAGTTTGCGTCTGCAAACAAATAATATGATCAACTAGCTGAGCACTTTAACAGTAAAACACCTATATGGCTTTTGGAACAAACTCTATGGAGCCCGACCATGTCAAAGTCGGAAACTTTGGAAGTCACCAAAGACATTGAGAGGGTTTGTACCAGACTTCAAAAGTCAGAAAGGCAGAAGATGACGGCTTTCGTCAGAGGCCTGCCATCAAACATCAGAATTCATGTTGTGCAGAAGAACCCACAAACTTGTGAAGATACGACGAAGATAGCCCGTCTGGCTCAAGAAGCAAGCTCCTTGGAAACAGCTAAGCAAACTCCAAAGGATCTAGAATCTATCGTCACTGCGCAAAGTGCATTAAAGAGTTTACCAAGGCCGTGGACGCGCTTCAAACACAGTCCACCGTGTGTCCGGTAGGAGAAGTAGCGTCAAGAGATGCACACGTACTAGTTGTTTCAGGAAGGGCCATTCACCATGCGAATGCCGTTCTTATTATCGAAAACAAGTGCTGAAATTTGACTAGTGCTTTATACAGTAGTAAAACAATGGGGGAAAGTCATTATTTTACATTTTATTTTATCTACACAAATCTTTATTATGATTTGTTTATGTGAATTAATTTCAGTGCTACTGAATTACGGTACCCTTCGGTTTCTTTGTGTATAAAATGGTGGTGTTCGCGTTTTTATTTTACAAAACCGTGCTTCTCATAAGAAATAAAGGAGACAAAATTCAATTGATGTAAATTTTTGTGACATGCTTTACCTTTGACAATTTTTTTCAGAATTTGTCAGATTTTTTACCTCATACCTTGAAGTTAAACCTACATTTAGAAGAAATTAAACATTGGTAATAAGTTTCAAATAAAAGATTAGGCGCTGTGTGCACTGTGACAAGGCCATTTCAAAAGTACTATAATTTTTACCCCTTGACCTTCTCCATGAAGTTTAACCTATTTACCTAAAATATTAACATTGGTCAAAAGGTTTAATGAGATGACAGGGTATTCATATTTCACATAAGTATTACCTTTGACAAAATCTCTCCTAATGTACACAAGTGTTTTACCTCATGCGTTGACCTTCAAGTTTAAACTTCTTCTTAAAAAATAAATTGATAATAACTTTTGATGTAGGCAAGGTATGGCTTTCATAGTTTATACGTATATCACCTGTTATAATACCTTTCAGAATTCGAAAGTCATTATTTTTCATTTAATGGCCTTGACCTAGATCTACCTTTCAAAAATGTTAACTTTCGCCGTAACTTGTGCATCTGAAACAACAGAGCCTTATATATATATATATATATATATATATATATATATATATATATATATATATATATATATATATATATTTCGCATGCATTACTTGTGACAAGACCTTTTGGAATACATTATAAATTTTAACCTCAAATCCTTGACCTTGAAGCTTCACTTCAGGTACCTTTGCTAATAACCATTCTAATTATTGTCGAATTGATTGTTTGCTTTGTGATATTTTCAAATCTACACACAGTTTGACCTAAACTGTGTCTTAAAATATAGAGTTTAAACTAAATACTTTCAGGGGTGGTTTATCTGCACATAAATCCCGACCAAGGCATCACTGCACCATATACACTGGTTAATGTGGATGAACGTGGAAACGTTATCCAGGTAAAGTAAGAAGAAAGTAAATACCCGTATAGGCAAAATTTTTAGCGTGATTTCAATTTTGGCATTATTAGCAATTGAAATTGAATATCTCTAGCAATTTATTCCGCGTTGGAGGTAAAAGTTATCTACCTTGGTATTCAGAAATCGCTAATATTACTTCTAGCTCAAAATAACCGATTTTTGAAGACAGATTTCTAAATTTACTTCTACAGTAGTTAGCCATAATTTAGTTCCCAAAATGACCGCCGATGTTTCCTTGAATCGGTTTGGCAATATTTTGTCTCATAGTTTCCCAATACGTTAAAAAACTTACCTTTCTGTATCCGGATATAAGCACCAATATCGATTTTGGTTTTAAATTTATTTTCCTAATTCTATTTCGGTTTTGTTTGTTGATACTCGTCTGCTCATGAAATGGGTCGCCGTGGAAAAGATTTGACACCGGAGATGAGAAAAGCCAACAATTACACTTATTAATGGAAACATGAATTCCAATATTTATATTGAAACTTTGGATAGATATTTGTTGTCAGTCGTAACAAAAAACTTTGGAAACCATCATTGGATCACAAGCACTTGGGGTATAGACCCCCCTTTCCATTTTTTTCTTTTTTTAAATCTGGGGTCGAGTCGCCTTTTTCCTATTTTTATATTCTAATATGCACTACATGTTATCAATAACGTAACTCTTTTGTCTCTATAAGCTGTTTTGAAATATATTGTTTTCGACTGATACATAAAAAGAGAGAAGGCTTGCAACTCTTTTCTCGTCGACTGCCTCACCTCGATTAAACTTCATCTGATTATTTATCTAAAGCATAAGAAAACATAGAATTTGCATACGTCAATAAATTTGTTACACATTCTTCTTCCTTTTCATATTTCCTTTTGATTTTTATGTGCCCCCGATTTGTAAATATTTCGAGTAAATCACCTGCATCTAGGGTAAATTTTGTTGATGTGCACCAGCTGAGACAAAAGAGTTACATTATTCATAACATATATAGTGCATATTAGAATATAAAAATAGGAAAAAGGCGACTCGACCCCAGATTTAAAAAAGAAAAAAAAATGGAAGGGGGGGGGGGGTCCATACCCCAAGTGCCTGTGCCTTGGATATTTCAAGAAGATAATACTCCTTGCCACGTATCCAGACAATGTTATGCATGGAAAGCAGACAATAATATTCCCATTTTACCTTGGCCTGCACAAAGCCCAGATAAGAACATAATAGAAAGTGCATGGAGAGTTTTGAAAATTCGCATCAAACGCCGCATAAATGAAATTAACAACAAGTCAGATCTTGAAAGAGTAGTGACTGAAATCTGGGCATCACTTCCTTTACATTATATAAAAAGCCTATATCAAAGTATTCCAAAGAGAATCAGAGCCGTAATCAAAGCAAAAGGATACATAACAAAATACTAGTAATTTAAGGTAAGTGCGTGTTGTTGTTTGCATGCTATTTAAGTTTTACATTACAACAGGCAAGTTCAACATTTAACTAAAACTGGAAACTAAATTATGGCCAACTACTGTAGCTAAAATTTTCCACTTACATGTATACATACGTAATTTACTCAAATGTATGTAGGAGAAGATGTTGAATTTTACATTGTATTTCACTGGCACTCGACAATCTTTACGATTTAATAAAAGTACCACTAATATGAGATAAACATCAGAAGACAACCTTTATTAGTACCGAAATAGGAATATTTAAAAATTTGACGTTACAGCCTCTAACACAGAATCCGTTTCGGCAAAAGACCATCAACGTTGACTTTTTTATGTGGGTACTGGCTATAATAGGAAGCATTGTAGCATGTCCTGTAGGCATATTCTCGTTAGCCTATGCATTTATGGTAAGAAAACATTAAATAATGCCTTCAATATAATTTTTTCTGAAATATTCTTCAAAAAGAGTGCTTCTCTTGACTAATTTCATAACTCAGATTATGTTATGGATAGAATTTAAGTTTGAAGCTTTAGATTGCATTGTATTAAAAGATACCGTTTAAATAATACAAATTCAATTCAACATTTATCATCTTTGTTTTGATCGTGCAGTTTCCTTTGTATAGATTGTTAAAAATTGAGCGGATTTAAATTGGTTAAAACATCATAAAAAAATTAAAATGTATTTTCTTTTCAGTCCCAAAGTGAGGCTTTTTATCCCATGAGAAGATACTACAGACTTACGGCCATCCTTGGGGCGTCCTTCGCCATATTGTGTTTTGTAATTACCCTTACAGTGACATCGGTCATGGCTGGGTTGTATAGTAAACTGAGCTAGGTCTTTTTGTGGTATTGTTTTATTATGGCAATCTCTACCGATTGTAGTTAATATATGCATATTTTGTGATCATGATCAGCATTTGTGAAGTATAATATATTAAACCAACTTTTTTGTGATGAAAATTATAAGTCACAATTCTAGTAGTTCAATTTTGATTGAACTAATTAAATAATATAATTGCCGTTTTCAAAGGTCATGGAAAGCGAAGCCCAGGATTAAAATCATTATAATGGAAAATTTTGGATTTGAATCATAGAAAAATAAAAAATAAAAAAATTTAAATGTATTGTATACAATAATAACTCATAAGGGAGTCATTTTCTGTAAGTATCCGTTAATATTAGACAGTTACTAATAAATGACTTGTCTAACCAGACACCCTTAATAAAGAACACAAGCCCATGCTTGTATATGTAAAACCATTTATACATTGTTCAGAAATTAAACACATGTAACAGTTCTTTGTTTTAGGTATGACAGAACCTAGTATTCGCCACAGAACAGGGCTCATGCCCAAAACATTTTCTGTGTCGTTGGAAACAGCATCAAAATTGTTGTACTCATGTGAATTTCTAATAATTCAACACATTTGCATAGTTTCTGTAAAACTGGCTCTGTTGAAGGTTAACAACATTTTCTGATAAAATTTGATGCTTATGAAAATATCAGTTCTAATGTTTTTCCATAATATTGATATTAATTTTTCGTATATGTTAAATGTACACACAAGAAAATGTACTAAGTTTACCTATAAAGCTTATTTGAAGAGAAGAAATATTATGTACAATTCATAAAAGGCAATATTTGATATAATTAAATGATGCTAATATGTGAGCTTTTAACATTATTTTTTTTTCATGTGCATTATATGACCTTTCGTCAAACAGTGATAGAAAGGCCCAGTGGGACGTGTGTTTAAGTTGGATTTTTATGTGTTTGAAGGGGGAGGGTTAAAGTTTCTCATATGCAAGTAAAACTCCAAGGTCAAGAGATAAAATATTGGTACCCCAAACAAAGATATTATCAAAAGGAATACACCTGTAAAGTATGAAAGCCATTGCAGCAACACTTCAGAAATTATGTTCAAAGTCAAAGTTTTTTTTCTCAAAAAAAAAGAGTATTAAACTGCAAGGTCAAAGTCATGAGGTCAAAAATATTGCTATTTAAGAAACGGTTCTATCACAAAAACCACACCTGCGAAATAAGAAAGTCATCAAGCAACAATTCAGAAACACAGCTCTAGCACCACTAAAGGCTTCAAACAGGAGGGCAAAACTCCAAGGTCAAATTCAAAATGTCATAAATGTTTATACCCAAAGAAAGTTCTCGTCACAAGAAAAACAAAGTGAAATACAAAGCCCTCGCACCAACCATTTAAAGGTTACTGCCAAGGTCAAAGTTTTTCAAAGGTTAGTCAAACTCCACAAGAATATTTGTATCCAAGGGAAGATCTTATCACAAGGATTTATCATTTGAAGTATAAAAGCCCTAGCGCCAACCGTTTAAAGTTTTGAATTAAAATTAAAGTATGATAAAAGTTTGCAAAAGTAGGTAAACTTCCAAGGTCAAGAGGTCAAGTAAGTTGGTACCCAAAGACAGGTATTTCACAGGGAACACACATGTGAAATATGAAAGTCCCAGGTCCAACCAATCAAAAGTTATTGGCAAGGTTAATATTTTTGCGGACGAACAGACAAAGCAAAATTATATGCCCCCGATTCTTCGAATACGATTCGATTACTATATGAAAATTTCTTATTTACTAGACATCAATGAAAAGCAAAAATATTTTACAGCATCTACCCTCGTAAAAGAAAAATTACTTAATACATGTGTTACAATTTTTATACAAATTAAAGCTTATGTTGTTTTACGGGAGAGGTGCATATGTTAACCGACCAAAAGACCAATATTAAAAGTTAAATAAATGAATCAGATTAGTTGATTTTAAATAAATTAAACATACTGAAAGATAAGTGGATACTTATCAATATCCACGAATATTCAAAATCTGGTTACGTTTTAGTCCCTAATCAACAAGAGCCGTATTTAAGAGCAGATAATCAAATGTCACTAATTTCAGCGTTATTTATCAGTTACTTATGTAGTCTATTTTGCATTAAAATCCTAAATAGCCCATGCCAACATATCAATTTTATATGTGTAAATTGTAATTGTGGATCAAGAGTTAGCGTTCGCAGTTTTCCAAATCATTGTCACTTTGGATAATGAACGACCAATGAACAACTCTCATATATTTTTGATGAAGCATACGTATATTTCAATTTCTGTGCACAATTAAATTGGAAATTAGTAGGAATTCTTTAATTGAATTTATTCGTTCTTAAGGACAGAGGATACAAACCTTTCCTTCAAATCATGAAAATAAAAATATTAGATACATGTAAAAGTACATGTATAGGAATATGTTTATATAAATAAAAAAAAATAAGTTAAGGATGGATTCTTGTCAGCATTTTACGTCGTCAATGGGTCTCCATAAATTATGCAAGTCGTAAAATGCAAAATTCATATTTAATTATACTGAAGGAAAAACTATTAGTTAATTTGTCAGTTTAAGTAATGTTGAATCTGTTTCTTATGAAATTAATAAATTTTTCGTATTATTTTCTTTGATTTGCGACAATCGCCATAATATTCGCAGTTCGGTAGCGAATGTCAACATGTCCAGATCATTTTCCGTAGAAAACCCCGAGAGGGTTGTTTTGTAAAATCTACAAACTGTGAACATTATCGAAGCATTGCAGAAGCCCAGGTACAGTTATGACAAATTAAATCATAGTTATTTATGCCCGGGGCATTCCGATCAACCAAAAGGGAAGCTTGAACTTGAAGGTCACAAACATATGTGCTGTGCAAGATTGCAGATCCACGTTGCCTCGTCTGATGTCATGTCATGTGCAGTGAGCATGTAAGTTAGTTATATATGTCTAAGATTTTTATAATTTTGAAATTGAATTCAATTACATGCTGGTTTGTATTGATTTATGGGAATTCGCACGGAAATTATCAATATTTCGTCTGCTTATTCCCGCGACTTGTCAACATTTGAAGAGGATATATTTCGTGTGTTCGTCAGGGTTATGAATAATAATTCACAAAAATAGCATTTTTTGTATATGATTACAACAAATTTTATATTTCTAACTAGCCTACTAGTCTACTTCAAGACACAACAATCATCAAGTTATTAGAAAAGTAAGGTGTTCCGCTTCGGTACAAATCAAACGGAAAAATAACTTGATATTGTATGTGGAAATATCAATAATATTGAAACACAAAATTGTCTAATAAATAGAGCAAAATGAAACATTAATGTTCAAAACTATTTATATTATTGGTTTGTTTTTTTTTTTTACTCTTCTGTACTTTTAGGATAAAAAATGTCTATTTATTTATATCCAATACGCTATAATATAAGACATTATACATGTGGTAGAATCTATTAAAATATCTTCATTCATTTAAATCAATAAATGAAATACAGATGAGATAAGTTGTTTAATCTTATAATCAATTTCCATTAATTTAAAAAAAATAGTTTAAGGGATGTTCATGTCTAATTCTTAGGAGTAAAACAACCCTACTTTACCCTAGACTAGAAAAAAAAGACTGGAGGTCAGAATGCAGGATGATTGAGCATGGAGTGCTGGCAGATGGACTATTGAGGTACATGTATAAGAAATATGGACACTACTTTATCTAACTATCAAGTAATGATGCATCCGTGCTGCTATGTAAAATATTTTACTTTTTTTTAAATTATAGGTCAACAAAAAATTTGGACTTTCACCAGGTGGACACATGTTCAGCAAGAAATTCTCACATCAAATGAATGATGGCTGTCTGTGGAAAAGATATTTTCTCAGAATATATCATGTCAGAAGCAGGAATTACATATTTATCTGATCAAAGAAATGTTTTTGTAAAATGTGGAAGTCAATGCATGTTATCAAAGTCACTCTGCTTGTTGCATGATTCCATTCTTGATTTTTTTCAGAAACTTTCAGTCAAAAATAGTTTTATTTATAATTATATAATGTTTAATTTTTTGATTCCCAAGTACCCGATACAGTGCAAGCTTTGTAGAATGTGATTACTTTACAAAATCTTTGATTCAGATTTGAAATCTTACTCCCAGAGTGAATTTTTCAAGCATTATCTTTCATTAGATTACAATGTGAAGATTTACATGTACTGGCATTACAACAACGATGATGATATATACCTAGCTCTATGTATTCAGTTGCTTTACATTTTCAAATACAGTGAAAATCTTAAAATACAGTTCTGGAATGCATAAAAATGTGCCTGCTTTAGATCATGTAGTTAAAGGGTGATTTTAAGCAAGAGCATGCCAAACAAAATTGCTGGTAGTGGCCGGGTTAAAATTTAGATTTTTACAAATGAACTACATATACAAGTACTTGCAGTAGAAACCCTCAAGAGGTAATTTTTAATTCAATTTCAATACATGTTATTGACACTGATCAATAAATGTTTGTGCTACAAATTCTCAAAAAGAAATTTCATCCTTGAATAAGTATTTTGAATCTAAATGTGAAATTAAGTTTGATAGCTGCATGCATATTATTGTTACAAAGTTCAAGGATGTCATTTTCAGGCAAAGATGCCAAAGGGCATTGATTGTCATAGATGGCTTTTTTGTTATCTTAAAACTCCAGCAAATTTTACGCAATATATGATCACATTGAGGAGTTATATTTATTGGTGCTGAACAAACTATATACTTATAAATGTGTGTAGGTATTTATTGTCCCTCGCTTTCGCGAAAGAGAGGGGACATTAAATCTCATTCGTCTGTCAGTCTGTCTGTCACAAAAACTTTAACCTTGGCCATAACTTTTGAGTGAGAAGAGATTAGGCTTTTGTATTTCACATGTACATTACCTGTAACAAGACCTTTCCAAATATACTGTGAATTTTGACCCCGTGGCCTTGAAGTTTGACCTACTTTTCAAAAAAATTAACATTACCTTAAATTGGTCATAGCTTTTGAATGAGAAAAGATAGGACTTTCATATTATGCCTGTTCATTACCTGTGACAAGACCTTTCAAAATTATACTATGACTTTTGACCCCGTGACGTTGACCTTGAAGTTTGACTTACTTTTCAAAAAATTAACATTTCTTTAATTTGGTCATTAAATTTAAATGAGAAAAGATAGGGCTTTCATATTAAATATGAACATTACCTGTAAGAATACCTTTCCAAATGTACTATGATTTTTGACCCCATGACCATTACCTTGAAGTTTGACCTACTTTTCAAAATTTTTATCTTTGCTTATAACTTTTGATTTAGAATAGTTAGGGCTTTCATATTTGACATGCATGTGCATTAGTAGTGACAAAGTGTTTCCGAGCATGCTATAATTTTTGACCCCTTTACCTTGACCTTCACGTTTGACCTAAATTTCAAAAAAAATTATATTTGGTGATTTCTTTGTTTGGAATGACATATGATAGGGTGTTCATATTTGACAAGTGCATTACCTGTGTCAAAATGTTTCTGAATATGCTATGATAGTTGACCCCATGACCTTGACCGTGACCTTCCAGTTTGACCTAATTTTCAAACATTTCATCAGTTTGCTAACTTTTGAAGGAGCAAAGATAGGGCATTCATATTTGACAAGTGCATTACCTGTGACAAGCATTTCCAGATGTACTATGATTTTTAATCCCATGACCTTGACCTTGAAGTTTGACCTAATTTTTTTTTATTTATTCCTGGTTATACTGAAGGTTAAGTTGCTTTGAATTAGTCCTGTGCATGTGAAGAATGTATGTGATAATTATTCTGTAATTGCCACTAGAAAATTGATGTATTTTATAAAATTGTCAAACATAACATTCATAAGAATAAAATGACAGAGGAAATTCGAAATGAATATTTTGAGTATCATTAGTGTAAAATACCATAAAAATAGAATGTATAACTGGTAGAAATGAATGTATTTATGTCACAATTACACCAAATTGATATATTTTTGGGGATTAAAAATCTTTCTTATAGACATTAAAAACACTCTGTAAATTGAAGATTTCAGAAAGTATAGAGCAAATTCGGGCTAATTTTTTTTGATAATTTGCCTGATTACTATATCTTTTTTACCTTGTAAATTAATCTTGAACCTTTGAATATTCATCAGACAAAAATCTAAATATTTGACATTATATGGTCAATTGTAAAAATTGAGATGAAATTTCATGTGAATTCATGAAAACTGAGAATTTTGAAAAAAATATCGAGGAAATTCGGATTAAATGTATTTATTGAATATAAAGGATTTCACGTTATCTTTTCACCAGCTCATTTCATATGAATTGGTCATCAAAAATAAGTAACAACTTTAATTTTATGGTGAAAGATATTTTTTCAGTCAGCAAAATTTATTCATATGCATAAATTTCAAAACTTCTCTGTGTAAAAGTACTATTTTTAGGACTGACTTTCAAATGACCTTGACTGAAAATCAAGGCCGATGACACCAAAGTTTTTGGATGTTAAAATAGTGTAAACAGTCTGAATATTGAGTATTCAGAAAATCAAAATTCTGCCATTATAAGAAATATGAGAAGAATCCATCCTTAAGCCGCATTATGTTTCATATTTTCATTCATTTTTCCCCATAATGTCTGATAAAGTGATTACATATTATTTGTATTTATAAGGTTGATGACAGAAAGGAAGAAATATGAGCATCAAAAGAAGTTTACAATCTCTTTTTAGTATTTTAGAGATTTGATATATGGATCATTTACAATCAAAATAATTCAAAAATATATACCAATCAATTCATCCATTTTTTTTCGGGGGGGGGGGGGGGGTATCAATATCTTTATCATCTCCAAGATTAAATGAATATTTAATCACTTATTGTCAATGACGGTAATAGTAACGTGTAAAACTATGAAGGGCATTCTTTTTTCTAAAGATAAAAAGCCCAAGGAAGATGAATAATTCTCGACGTTAAAATGAAATACGAAGAATGACAACTCTGGTTTTATATGATAAATTCTTTTAAATGCATAGGTAAGGATCCCTTAACTGCGTCATGAGAAGGGAAGCATAAATTATTCTATGTATGAAACTGCATTAAAAAATTATAAACATTGTTTGTTTTTTTCTCAATATGGTATCCAACCTCTCTGGTAAGTATAAGGATACTGTGGACACCAAATTAAATTCAAGAAGTACTTCAGTATTATGCACATACCGAGTACTCCAATGAGTCTATTGATATGAGGAAGGAAATACTTTGTTTATATTAAAATCAAAGAGGAAAAAATTCCCTCATTACAATTTCCAAAATAATAATGAAAATTGATCAAAATAATGAATTTTCACTTTGATTTTTCCTTATTTCTTTTGTCACCGTATTATTTTTAAGATTTACTACATTGATCGAGTCCTATGAATACTTTTTATTAACTGTAATTTTTTTCATATATTATCTGTGTATAATGCAATACTGTTCTTATCATATTTTTTAATTAAGCAATATATCCGTTTCCATCTTAACGAAGCCCAATACGTTACCTTGAACATCATGATATGGTTTGCATATCGAAACCTAAATGTGTAGTATCCCATGTCACCGTAGTCCAGGTACAAAATTATTGATTAAAAGTGCATTTGGCGCATGCGTGTACTCAGCTAAAAATACTAAAACTTGGACAAACAAGGAAATGACTTCTCCTCAGGCAGGTTGGTGAAATTCTTTTTTTACATTTAGAAATGATTTTAGGATTTTCGTTTTTTGACGAATATGTAGCCGCATATGTGATGGAAAGTGATACGTACATATACAAATGTGTGTATCACTGACCAAAATATTGACAATATACATGTATATTAATTTACCTAGCTTTAATGTAAATCAATTGCGTTTAATTTAAACTAAGTTTCCTGTTTTTTGAAAACTTGAATAATATTTTTTTTTAATGAGTATTTCTTTGAAATATATATGTAAACGCCTACTTCCTGGTCGTCTTTAGTATATATTCCTGATAAGAACGTATTCAGAATATGAACATAAACATTCTAGGGAGCTTTAAACTTTTGTTATTGAACAGTTCTCGTCTGTTGCGATATATTTTCATACCTAGACTCTGTTGACCTCAGCGGTGTCTAACAACCAAGTACTTTCGGTTTTCAGGGGTGGCTTATCAGCCCATGAATCTTAACCAAGGTGTCACCGCACCATATACACTGGTTAATGTGGATGCATGTGGAAATGTAATCCAGGTAAAGTTGGAAGGAAGTAAATATCTTCTACTTAAATGTATGAATATGAAACATTGATGTTTACCCTTTATTTTACGCATGTACCTCTATGCTGTAAAATAAAATAATTAAAATAAAAATTTCCCCTGGAATTGGACCAATATAGTGAAGCAACCTTTACTAATTTCTTGACAACTTAATGTTACAGTCACCAACACAGAATCAACCGCAGACAACCAACCTTGACATTTTTATGTGGGTACTGGCTGCATTTGGAACAGTTGTAGCTTGTCCTTTCGGCATATTCTCGATATGCTATGCATATATGGTAAGAAACATTAAAATGTCACCAATATACATGTATTACTCTCAAAGCTGAACACGATTTGTAAATAGTTATACGCCATATTAGTTTTCCGATATTAGCACTGGGGTATATATCCTTCGCATTCGTTTCACCTGACTACTTTCTTGTCACGGGTACCTGCGTGGAATGGACGACACATATTCTTACAATACCTTTCTTTACATTTTATTGCAATGTTAAAATAATTTGATTTCAAAATATTCAGAATGTTTATCAGTTAATTATACTTATTGTTTTACTTTTGAAGTTTTGTTTGTATAATGTCAGTTAAAATGAAGGAGTACCGCGAACTCTAACTCGAATCCTACCTCCATTTTACACGCACATAAATGAACATTTGTTTATCAAATTGGCTGTTGAAGTATTTCTTAATGCAAAGTAGTCTTCATGGGTGATTTTAACTCTGAAACCGATGTCAATATATTAATTACTCTTAATTACAACATTTTTGTACGGGAGTAGAAAGCTGTGTCCATTGAAATAAGACTTGAAAAAGTCACCGGATTTGCTCATTGATATGGTTAAATGACCACTTTATCTCTGAGTATGTTTAATATGGATAAAATTAACTAAATTTGGTTCGTATGGTAACCTTTTTAGTTGTTTATCTTTTGAAATTGGACATAAAATGAAATTTTTTGGTGTATTGTGGTCTGTAAATATATGTTCCCTCTTTCGTTTTCTTTCTATAAATAATTCACTTTGTATGAAAATTGACATAAATATCTACATAAATTTTAAAATTTATTTGAATACGATAACTTCTGACCTGTGGGTAGGTGGTGAAACAGTGTTATAATTAAATGTCCTTTACTAAAACTTAATAGAAATAATGAATTTACAACATTTTTTTTCAGTCCAAAGATGAGGCTTTTTATCCCATGAGGAGATACTACAGATTTACGGCCATGCTGGTGGCTTCTGTCGCCATATTGTCTTTCGTGATTACCGTTATCTGGACTATGGCCGTATTTGGGAGCCTAAGTAGATACTAAACGGCGTGTTGGTATATTTTCTACTGATTGTAAATAAGCAAGTTTTATAGTTAAAGATTGTGAACTGCAATCGTCGATAGACATTGGATAACTATCATTGATTTATGTATGTAGATTTTTTTTTATATATACATGTACATATCTTTTTTCAACATATGTATGTACTTTACTTAACTGCTCTAATTATTTTGAAGATTTATTATGTTTGAGATCCTATGAAATGTTTTGATCGGCATGAAGTTTTTGCAGTTAAAGGTACCAAAACCTTATACATGTACTTTCTTAAACTAAATCAACTGCTGGGTATAGTAGAAATGTAGCATAATTAAAGATCTTTTGATTTTATACTGTACATATTTGCTTTAAAAAATGATAAAACTGACATTCTCAATAATAAAATCTTCTTTCCATTGTATACATGTTTTTGAAAAGTTACAAATATATTATGCTTGTTTTGATTATTATTCATGACTTATTTATTCTCTCATTTTGTTTAGAATTTATTTAATATCAAAATATAATAATAATTTATATGGTACTTGGATGTCATTAAAATGTTTTAAAAGAGTTCAACGATTTTGTCAAAATTAATTTGAATTTGATATTTTAGGAGTTTTTGATAAAGTGTATACATGTAACAATACTTATCTTTTTTTTTAAACTAGGCTCTTGGCTCGTATAGAAGCAGCCATATTCAAACCGCATGTTGACTAAACAGTCCTCAAATAAAGAAATATAGTAAGTAAATTCTTCTGCTGTTGGGACAATTCAAACCCTGAATCAAACCAAAAGAAGAGCTGTAAAATAGAGTGAATATACTCCCTTTTAAATTTTTTCCTTGTGTTTCTTGACTTACAATTAACACAAAACGTTTTAATTTATGATAGGGAAATGTTTCCACCAACATACATGTATTATTATTGTATCCACAGCAAAGAACTGCCCCATATACATGTAGGATTCTCAAACTGAAACTATCAGAAACCATACATTTACAGTTGCTGTGCATTACATGTTTATTACGATAACCCCTGCTTAAAAGTAAAATCCCTACATATCCAACTTATACCCAAGGCTCCCTTTCTAAGGAGGAAATTCTTCAAAATCATATGTCAGTTTTAAATAAAATACATGTGTATTTTTAATATTCCTAAAAATCAAATGAATTTGAATTATCATACTTATATTGGATTTCTAAACTTCATAAAAATCCTTACAAACAAAGATACATAGCAGGTTCCAGTAAATGTTCTACCAAGCCTCTTTCTTTATTCCTCCCTAAAATATTAACCAGTGAAGGAGAAACTTCAGGAGTGCTGCACAACAATATATTCAAGAAGTGGTGTGAATCAGATGTGGATACTTAAAAATTCCAACGAACTTTTAGAAAATTTGAAGTCACAAAATTTAAACAAAATCAATCACATCAAGACCTATTTTTGTATTCATATGAAGCAGAATTTATTCAAAATCTTATATTTACATTCAGTGTAATTTTCTTTATAAAATCCATTGGAAATCTGCGACATTCAATACCCTGTAACACATACAAAACCTTGTCACTGCGCGGTAGAATGCACAGTAGCAACTATATGCATTTTATATACTCTAAAACACCAAAATGTATATTTGCCTCAATTTAATTAAAAACAACTACACTACTTATTATCATAAAAATTGTACGTTTAAAATTGTCATTTTTTCCCTCGCAAAATTCATTTGTGTTATATAACTTTCCACGTCACAACGGCTCACTTTCCATGTCAGAACGGCTCTTAAGTCTATTAGGCACACCTTTTCTGAAAGGCGCTAAATCATAAAAAAAAAATAACGAAATTAACAATTATGAAGAGAGAAATTAGAGAATGTAAATATATAACGCGCTGCATTCAATATGTCGACACGGCCAGGTGCTGTTATAGAACCGAAGATTAAGAATTCAAGGCTTAAATACATGAGAAGAAGATACTTACTGTGGCCTTCAACTCGACATTTAGAAATATCGATGGCGTATTATCGATTAACAATAGTTACTTCCATTCATATATCGACTCGATATATCCCAGTGAGCTTGAAATAAAAGATAACACAGAGTCTGACACATCTGTTTCATATTTGACATTTTACTAGAAAAAGACGTCAATGGTAACCTAACAGCCAAGCTTTTATGATAAACGTAAAAAATTTTCAATCGTCAACTTCCCTTACTTATGTAGTGACATACCCTCATCAACTGCATATGGGGTTTATGTCCCTCAGTTGATTCGATAAGCAAGAGGATGCTCTACGTACAAACAATTTCTAAATCGAGGAAAGCTATTGACAATCAAATTGATGAAATAAGAATATCAACAGTTTTGTTTAAAGTTATCATTTTGGAAGTTCTATTGTCGATACAATTTCTAAAACGAGGAAAGCTATTGACAAACAAGTTGATGAAATAAGAATATCAACTGTTTCGTTTAAAATCATCATTTTGGAAGTTCTATAGTCGATACAATAACCTTGTCAGCAAATAAATACAATCTTATCAGACTATCATTAAGTCGAATGCTGACTGACGTTTTTCATACTAATCGTTAAGCTATTATTTACACACTGAATTGTCTAATTTTTCAGTTTTTCCCGATCATGACAAGGAACACACGGCAGATGTGACCGGTCGACAGGGGATGCCCACTCCTCCATGGTACCTGATCCCACCTCTGATGTTTTAGAGGTCCGTGTTTGCTCTGCTCCTGATTTATATTGTTTGAATGGACTCTTAAGCTTGAATACTGTTCGTTATCTCCATATTTCATGCAGCAGTATTTATATATTGACCGACAGCGAAGGATCAATGAAGATGTTATGAACTACAGAAATAGACATATTTTTAAGCATGATTTGGCTGATGTTTCATCATTCTCAAAATGAGTGTTATCTTTATATCATGTTTTCCTTTCTTCTGATTGACAAGGAGCATTAACTCTGCGATTCTGAAAAACATTTCATTTGTTGCCTTTTTCATATAAGCAGACTATTAAACGCAATCTACTGCTATACAGTGCATGTACATTACTACATTTTACTTGCCCGCCCGGGTTTTCTGAAAAATAATAATAAAACAATACCATATTCATAAAAATGAATACATAAAATATTCATTTTACGGTATTGATTTTCTTTATTCTTATTAATTTAACGATTTCCCACATTCAGATTCTCCTTAATTTCTCACACAATCTCTTTGTTCACGACAAAAAAATATGAAGTGACTATCCTCAAATAAGCACGTTTGGTGTTGTAAACTCAAGACTTCGTACGTGCAAACTTTTTCAGTTAAGAGGATTATCATGTATATAAAAGTTTTATCTTAATTTAAGAGCCCTCTATATACTGCACACTAGAGAGTTCTGATTTTGTGGTATTTTTATGCAGATAGAGTGATCTGCCCTTTGATTAAGAATAAAATAAATTGAAATGCACAGTTTATTACTTAATTTGTGATCAAATCAAGCATTCATAACACTTTAATAGGCCAAGATGAATAGATAGAACACTTCATTTGCAGGTATTTTGCCCACTTAAGTAAACAAAAGTGATTTATGTTCACCAGTACTTCATTGTCTTTGAACATTTTTCCTGGGGGTAAATGCAAGGCACCCTATGTTGAAAATGTGATAAATAAGCTCAATACTTGCACCTTTACACACTATAATTTTCTCAATGTCCAAAAATATTTTCATCTAGTGTATAGAGGGTCCTTAATTACAAATAACACACTATAATTTTCTCAATGTCCAAAAATATTTTCATCTAGTGTATAGAGGGTCCTTAATTACAAATAACATAAAAGAAAAGTATACAACTTGCTTCTGTAAATTTTAACTTTAGAATAAAAGTGATAAACATTCAAATATCTGTAGCCATTGCATATCAAGTAAAAATTTAATACACGCAGGCATTGTATATCATTATTTCAAACCATTTGAAAAGTGTTAAAAGCTCTATTAGCTTAAAAAAGAATGATGTTCAGCCCATCCCGTATCTATTCTTCCCTAGAGTATTGTACCGAATGTAACCATAACCTAACCTGCACTGTTCTACAAAGGGGTCCGTAAAACTAATAATGCCTATTAAAACGCTAATCAGTTCTTGGTGAATTAAACACCAATGAAGCCTACTATCGCTAGGTGTTTATATATATATATATATATATATATATATATATATATATATATATATATATATATATATATATATATATGTGTGTGTGTGTGTGTGTAATATTTATGTAATATTTTAGCTTCATTCGGACAACGGTGGCCTAACTGAATATTGATAGTTGGCGGTGTATTATGGGGGCCAGTGTTGGGCTAACTGTTGGCGTAATATCACAAACGTTGTAGTGAGAGCGAACATTTTTTGGATGATTGGCATTGTTCCTCAGTTGTCCCAGTATCATTAGTATCAGAGACTTCAAACTTGGAACATAGAGAAGATGTGTAGAGGAATGGTGAATGCCAACATTTTATTTCACCTTGAGCTATTAATAAAGTCAAGGTCAATCTTTTACAGGAAAATATAGTCCAGGTCATAACTTAAGAACTTTTTGATATTAGGATTTCAAACTTGGAACAAGGAAAGACAACATTAAGACTAAATGCACTGCATCAAAATATTTGACCTTGACCGATTTTTTTCATTCAAGGTCAAATTAAGAAAACACGACCAAACCATACCTTAGATCCTTTTGACATGAAAGCTTGAAATTTTGTACACAGGTCGAGGAATTTGAGCTGAGATGCACTGCAATATAATTTTTGACCCTGATCGTATTATTGCACTCGTTAATGCTGGTAAAGAAGGGGAGACCTGTTTTTTTTTCTAGTGACGATATCACTTATGAAAGCATTTATCTGGTAAAAAAAAAAAATAACCAGATTTGATGCGCTCCATCCTGATAAAAGAATTTTGTAAAGTTCTTCAAAGGCATTTTCACTAGGTGTCTGAAATGTAAGCATGCGTCTTAATGATGTTTTTTTTTTTGTTTTCCTTTCTAAAATGTGGTAAGTCATTTTCTAATTGATTTATGACTATAGAATGTTATGAGACGGCACTGCTTAAGATAAAATCAGCTGAATTTACATCATCTCTTGAAACTGACGAGGAGGATTGCCAATCAAGAAAAGAAAGTAAATATTGTCTGAGCTTTGAGTATAAATTTACTATTCTCATGTCAAGATTTTTAAATAACATTGTTACAGCTAGGATTTCTCTTTAAAAAAAATTATTGACAAATTATTCATCAATATCGCAGGTTAAAAAGTTAGAAGATTGCAGATCACTGTTTACTGTTTATGATAAATCTAGAATAATTTTCATATTTTCAAACATGCACCAAATGCAAGATATGACTTCGACAGCGAGAGT